CTTTGTACTTGCGGGACCAGTTGATACTGGAACAGCCCTATATAGTACAGAGTTCAAGTTCACGATTTACAGTTTATGTTCCTGATGTAAGGTCGACGTATAATAGTTGTTCAGCCGGGTAAAAAGTAACGGTCTGATATACAGACCACTAGTTCAGAATTACCTGGAAACTTGAAGTCGCACCTTATCAAGTCAAGTAAGTCAGTAAATATCACGGTTTCAATCTCGAAGCGACTATTTAAGTTGTCTCGGGATAATTTTCATAATTCGAACATAGATGATTCAGCCATGCGAAAGCCAAGTCATGGTTTTTCAGCCATAAGAGTATTCAGGTAAGTTATGACAAGAATGAGGATAGTCTGTCTGGTAAGACAAGACTTATCTACCATTTTCAGTATGTCAGCGCCTCGGTTCTCAAATTATGAAGAATCTGAGAAATCGTGGGAAATATTAAGTCATGAGGGACTTCTTCTTGAGGTTAAGTGTAACCTCGGAGGGAGTAAAATGTTGCAGGTACCACAAGTTGACATTCGCTGCGATGGAGAAGAGCCAATCAACAACAACAGATCGTGCCATGATGATAAACCGACGCTTTCCATTGAAGGATGCCATGTCTGAGTCTCAGTACACGGGGAGGTTGCGGAGAGAGTCTTCACCACCAGCATTCCGATCGGAGAACCGCCAGCAGCCAGAAGAGGACGACCACCAATTTCAGAGTTTCGTTTTGAGGTCATGTCTTAGCAAGTGGAACACTTTCTTTCAGAAAAGTGTCCATTTTCAGTCAGCGGTATTTTACAATTCACTTAATTGTGAATTGATGTATCTTCAGTTCAGATCAAGTCTCTTATTCAGTACTAAATTACTGAATTCTCTAGTCATGCAATCAGTAAGTATAAGCTTTAAGTTAAGCTTGTACATTCCAGCTTTACTGTTCCGAGGAGCTCATAAAGAGGTTAACTTGAGCACCAGCGTTGATTATTCCCGATCCTTCTCAGAGTTTCACTATCTTCAGCGATGCTTCGAGATAGGGCTTGGGATGTGTCCTGATGCAGGACGGACGGGTCGTTGCGTATGCTTCACGTCAGCTTAAGCCTCATGAGCAGAACTATCCTACGCACGACTTAGAGTTAGCCGCAGTCGTTCACGCCCTGAAGATCTGGCGTCATTATCTTTACAGCGGACGCTGCGAGATATTCACAGACCATAAGAGCCTATAGTACATCTTTACACAGAAGGAGCTTAATATGAGACAGCGCCGTTGGCTCGAATTGGTCAAAGACTATGATTGTTCTATTCAGTACCATCCGAGGAAGGCGAACGTCGTCGCAGATGCCCTAAGCCGAAAGGTGACGGGGGACTTGACGTACGTCATCACGCAGTAGAGTCCTTTGATCCATGAGTTCGCCCGGATGCAACTTCAGGCGATTGATGCACTCCCCACAGCTGTCTCAGGGAGCAATAGTGCCAGTGTCAGTGCGATGCAGCTTCAGCCGACACTGAGGGAAAGGATCCGGCGAGAGCAGGCTTCTGAC